TCGCTTTGCGTAATAAAACGACAGTTCATTATTTCGAGTCTTGGGATTTTTTTAAATTCGCTGCGAATTGTATGTACATGTTTTATATTCGACGTCCGCTTCCTACACGTTACTTTCTAACAACTCAATTATTTCATAATAGAACAAATTCATAATGTAACGTATAATTTTTTTTATATTGAGCAGACCGAAGAATAATTTATTTTCCGTTGCTTTGATAATTTTCATACTCCATTCTGCAATATATATACAGTGAGAGCAAAAAGTATTCATACAAGGAAATTTGTTATAAAAAAAGTCTTTTTTTTTTTAAAATAAATATTAATTAGTAATTTTATACAATGAATACATTCTGTTCTAATATAAACAAACGAACTTCGCATGTATTCCTAATTTTATAAGCTAAATTTCTCGTCTGTATGAATACTTTTTGAGCATTCAAACAATACAATTTTTAATTTTCGCTTATTTTTCAGATACATTTTGTATAATTAATACACATCTTTTTGGTATAATTTAAAAAAATATACAGTCTATTTTATTCTTCAATAAATAATAAAGAATAAATGATTAATTATCCAACGAGAAATGATCGTCAATTAAACATCGAATTGACGTCAATTAATGTTGAAATCATCGTATTTATATCGATTCGACATCAATTCGATGACTCATTTCTCGCTGCATAACTACTTTTAAAAATAAAGTTTTTTTAAAAAATATTTTCTCGAATACTTTTTCTACTCATTGTATATATATTGCAGGTAATATTTTGCCGTAATACTAAAAGTTGAAGGGATTAACGAGCAAACTTGACCTCGACAAAAAGTCAAATGTCATCGTGAGACGCGTTCGAAAGCGGAGCTTGTTAGAAGTCGGCTGCTTTTCGCGAGTCACCGCTCGTTCGTCGTCAAAAGACTTTGATCGAATGACTAGCGATATTTCTCGATATTTGCAGCAACGTGTGAGAATAAATCGGACCGATAAAACCGTAACGTCAGTTTCGCATTTGAAATTTTACTTTGCGCCAAAGTACTATTTGATTCTGTTCAATATCAAAGGAGCACTTGGTGATCCAATCTCTGTTAGGAATTAAATAATATTTTGTTACTTTTAATTTCCACGTGTGTCAAAATGTAAATCAATCCATCTCTATGATTAATTTCAAAGTAAACATCGTCCATGTCAACGTATACATTTCGTAAACAATGAACTAAATTTTATTCAAATTTAGTACATTTTCTCGAGTTAAATTGTTCACTTCCATTGTTTTAGTCAAAGTGGCGGCGATTTCTATAGAAGTGATTAAAAATAATTCAAATTATAGATATAATTTTTTAACACTGTGAATTAAACAGTGGATGGAATTACAAAATCTTACCTAACGAAATGATCAGTTTTCGTCAGCTGGCGACCTGTCGCAACGACCTCGTCTCATGGATACCGTGCGCGTTTTCTTACAACTTATGCAATTAGAACTTTCCCAAATGTAATCGCATTTGCCGCCGGGTATCGCGTAACCGAAGTAATCAATGGGTACGCGTGTGTTACCGGTCGACGTGAAAATAAACGACGGAAAACTTGATGCAGCCTGACCCAATTCAGGAACGTCCATGTCCGTTTATATTATGCGTTTGTCCACCATCTGGCGTCATACGCGCGCGCGCACGTGACACAGATGTTAATTTTGCATTAATATATATGTAGAAACTTGTACGAGAGCAACGACGGCACGTGTACTTAAATCCATTAAGTACACACGATGATTTTTCGGTCCTTTGCTACGCATGAAAGGATCGTTTGTGTCCTGAATTCATCTCTATCACCTTTACTGAAAAAGAACTTACAAAAAAATAATGTACAAAAAAATTTTACTTAACATAAGAAAATTATTTATTCGATGAGTCGTAATTTATTTTTTTTGTATCAAAATATTTCTTTTCTCGGTGTATGATTTGTTTGTTGGAAACGAAAGTTTTTGTTTATGTTGAATCTTTTTTTTTTTTTTTATCAATTTAACATAATGTGATTATGTTATTTAAAGATTTTGTGTTAAATTGATATTCAACGTTTCTTAGTGTTAACATAATTTTTTAATGAGTAAATAAACAAGTAACAAAAAATAATGTATTTTAAATTGCAAATTCTAGGACGAATGAATGAAATAGGTATGTTAATTTAACATATAAATGTTAATTATACTATAAAAGAAATATATACTTTCGGTGCGTATTTGCAAACTGTGTCAGCATTTTTTTGTGATAATTTTTTTTACACAGTATCTGTGTTGTTTTGTAATATATATTTATCTTATGTTAAATGAACACCGAAGTTTGAATGGACCGGAGTTTGGGACACATGAAAATGTATTATATTCGACAAATTTTTCAATATTATTCGTGTTAACTTTCTCGCTTTATAAATACGTAATTTAATCATCTGTCTAATAAAATGCGTAAACACTTTCAGGACTCTGATAAAGAATTTAATTGGGCTGTAAGGGATTGATTTCTCGCTATATCGAGGCTTTCCAGCGATTGATAAAAATAACAGTATAATTGACACGCAACGGCCGAGTAATCAATATACAAAATCTCGATTTATCGTTTTTTCTCACTTTGAAGTGGGATGATAAATCTTCCATTCTATATCAATCATTTATTTAATTAATTTTGCCGTCGACGGCGATACTTTTTATCACGTTTCGTATTGGCAAATAGCGCTTTATATAATAGAGATACGTGTAACGCTCGGATGACCTTCGGGCAAGGCCTTCGAGGCTTGTCGTTAGTAAACTGAGAATAGGATCCACATCGGCTAGAGGATCCACATCGAAAGAAAACCTTGCGCTATAAATGCGGACGCGAGACGGCATCGCGTCGTAGTTTTTGCTCGGTGATACGTTCTTAAGTAAAGAAACAGTACGATGAGAAGTAAATACGTGTTTCAAGATGTTTTCGGATTTCGATATAATTTGATGAAGAGAGAGAAACCGGGAGAGCCGGAAACGTTCGGCAAGAATACGTGGTACACGTGAATCAGACTAGTAGTGAATCATCGATTGCGAGTTTCCATTCGCCTTTCGATCCAATCCTTTCGGTCGTTTCGTACGAGAAACGCCGTGTTGGCATTACATCATCCGTCATCCCGAAATGCATGCGATAACACGATAAATGATCGCACTTATTACCGTGGTATTACTAATAACACGCAATGTTTTCGTCAATTGCGAAGATGTACTTGGAGATTCTCTTATCTTCAAAACTTGTTGGTTCACACATTATTTTTTTTTACTGTACCGAGATTGTAGAACGACGTCGATAATCTTAGTTGATTTCTCAAATCAACGGGGCCATAAGTCAACAATTCGTCTAATAACAGATATCGGCCTTGTCTGTATGTTGACACAGATTTTGGCGTAAGATAGCGAATGCGATGTGACCTAATTGGATAGGAAAAATAAAAAGAAAGAAAATGAACGAGACAGTATACACTCGTTAAGACGCTTTCGGTGATTGCGTCGAATAAATGTCGCAACATGCGACATTGAACATTAATTAAATGAACAGGAATACGAAAATATTTTAATTTTCGAACTCACGGGTATTTAATTACATAAAATTTTTCTCGTGAAATATACGGAACTACGTATGTATAACAACAACAACAACAACAACAACAACAACAATAATCTCTTTTTATTGAAGTGCAAAATTAATAAAAAACAATGTAAAAGTAAATAAATACATAAAAATATATGTATATATATCGATATCGTTCATTTTCTACATACATAATTAAAAAAACAAATGTTTTCAGAAAATGAGTTTGAATGATTTGAAATTAAAATTTTATAATATTATTTTTGAAATGTAGTAATAATGAATTGTGGAGGATTAAAAATATATTCTCTTAAAGTGTATTCTTTTTACTATATATGATCTAACTCAAAAATTGTTATTTTTAAGTTGTTTACAAAAAAAGAATGGAAACACTCAGGTGACAAGCTGACGTTATTTGTTATCATTTGACGTCAAAATGACGGCAAATCAATAATCCCCTAATCAGCTTGCTTAATTAGGGGATGTCTTTTTTTCTGTAAACAACTTAAAAATGACTATTTTTGGATCATGTAATTGTTATAGCAAATGAACGATATGTAACATAAATGTAACATAAAAAAAACGAATTAGAATATTTATTCAGTTTATATTGTCAAGAAGGTTTAATAAAAATAAACTTAATTCGCATACATCTATCATTTTCTTCTATACTCTACTTACATTGATTATTACTGTATTATAAACCTACTTTTATCACAAGATAGACTAGAACCGTACAAAAGGTACTCTCCTAGATTTCTTACACTACGTTACCATATCTCAGTTTTACTTCCAACAAAAAAAATGTATTTATTTCTTTAATTTACATTTTTTTTACAATATCAGTCTCTCTGAACATTAATTGCGAGTCCCGCAAGAAGGATTCATTCTTTTATTCGTCATTCATTACTTTCAATTATTGTTTATGCCAAATCATATACTTTAACGAAGAAAGATTAGTTCTTTTTTTTAGCTGAACTTTTCGGTTTATTTTTTCTCTTTTTTTCTCCAACATAGAAAAAAGGAGAAAAAATAAAATATCCAAGAAGTTTAACTTTAAAAAAAAAAACAGGTTTTTCTCACAGAATATGATCAACGTATCACTACAAATGCTTTGAAGCATTCTTTGATTAGGCAGTTCATAAAATTTTTTCTTCTATAATCGATCAATTAAATGTAAAAGCATTTATAACATTTATTTTGACTGCATCTGTAACGTAGCCTATAAGTATCTTCTATTTAATCTACAGTATCCTCTTAAAATTGGTATAAATAACATTTTATTGGATCGGCGTTTTGTCGGTAAGCATTGCGTCAAACACGTCATCGTCGACCGCGTCGCGTTCGGGCGCGGTCGGCCGTCTTCGGCCGGCGTCGGCTACCACGTGTTCGGGCGACCACATGACCGAGCTGTCAGCTGTGCGCGTCGTTGTGTCGTCGGGCGCGATAACGATACGCGTGATCTGTGGTGCGTATAAAGAAACTGGAAAGTAAACACGGTAGCCCAGTGCAGTGACCACCTGGACCATCGATTCCAATAGCCGCGTTTACGAGACATCGATTACCCAGACCTCGACGACAGCCAGCGACGCGCACGCAACAAACACCTACATCACCTACAAGCGAACAACATGGCGGCGGAGTGCAATCACGCGGACTCGTACGTACATGCACATCATGATTCATGTGTTCCGCTGTGTCATTGCCCTTCGCGCAAGTGGGTTTAATTGCGTGCGAGCGTTTTCATTCGAAAATATTTAGACTAGCGAAGTTTTCGGTGAGAATTCATCTCGCCAAGAACGATCCTCCGAGAACGTTGCTTATGACGGATCGAAATAATCTCCAGTGTTTTCCAGCGAGATATTCAGTACACGATGATCATTTTATCTTTGTTTAACATTGGCAAATCACAAGGGCCACCACATGTGATGATGCACTGTGTCGTTTGTATTCCTTGCTGGAAGGCAATCCTCTTCTCTCGTGTTTACGATACGAGGAATCGAACTCCTTTCGAAATCACGTCGGTCTCAAGCTGCGTGAGCGAACGTTTACGGCGATTTCCCAACACGGGCGGTCGATGGAATACTCGAGCGAATAGGTTGCGGACCGAATTGCGAAATCGCGAATTGCGAGCTTGTCCACGACTTGGCATCGCGCTCTTTCCAATTTGTCCGCGAGTCAAACTCGCTTTCCCTCCCTGACCTGGCCTGATCGGATTTTGAGGTTATGCGTGCGGTTAGCTACGTTCGCGCTCCGTTAGATTCGCGTTGACCCTTGGACTGTCTGATAACAGTACTCGCACGAGATGTAACGAATGGGTTGGGCCGATGGACTTACTACAAGAGTTAGCCTCGCGGCTAACAACATTGCATGTAGTAGGTCAGAATAATTGAAGGTCTCTTCACGTTGATCGATTCTTCCCTTACAGCGGTGGTATTAGAATTAGAAAACAGCTACGAAGCAATCCTTAATTATATTTTTGTTTATTACACGTTCCATTTTTATAAGAAAAATATGAATTGACGAGCGTACCTGGCTTGTACTACATACAGCTAGCTGCTTGTTGACGGACGTGACGTGTATTTTGCGGAGAACGGAGTTCCTCGTAGAAAACACGTCCGCTTAAGAAGGTTTCTAGGTTGCCCGACTTTGCATGTGGAGTTTAATGACGCGTTGTTTACGTTTGTATTGTCCGTAATTATGCTAAGCACGTGGCTGGCCGTTTCGCACGAGCGATGGAGGGGGGGGGGAGGGAAGAACCCGCGGCCTTTCTTAAAAATACACACAGCTCTCTTTTTGCATTCTTTACATAACGGTTTCCGCGAAATCAGCGTTAACTTTTCTGCGAATTATTTATAGATCGGCCACCGATTCAAACAACTCACCGTGTTTCGCTTCCAAAGTGGAGTCAAAGTTTCAATCGAATTATTTTCTCTAAACTACTGGAAAATTTTTTATTCCACATTACTTGTGCTGTTTTTTTTTCTTTTATAAATTATAACTAAAGGCAATAAATGACGAATGAAAGAATGAGTCCCAATGTAACTCAATGTTTAGAGAAATTGCATTTGCTTGTAAAATAAATACGTATATTATAAATACACTATTAGATATCAAAGAAACAATGGTAACTTGAATTAAATATTCAGTCTTGAATTAAATAATAATGGATTTAACTTCCATGTGTGTCAAAATGTAAATCAATTCATCTTTGTAATTAATTTCAGCGTAAACATTGTCCATATTAATTTGATTATTTAGTAAATAATAAATTAAATGAACCAAAATACTTATATATTTATACTTTGAATCAAAACATTGAGTCGATTTTCTCTTCAATTAAATTATTATACTATTATTTTAGTTAGTTAATTTTATTGAACAGTGATGACTTATAGAGATGATTAAAATTAGTTTGAATTGGGTATAATTTAACATTATAAATTTAGCAGTGTACATTATTAAATATCTGTCGGTGCTCCAAAATTTCGGAGCAGAAAACCTGCTGCTTTTGCTCCAGTCTATTTCTCGATGACATAACTGGAGTAGAACGAGGTTCAAGGTACTATCTAACTTTTTCTTTTCGCAGCTGCGGTCATGTGATATTATGTTGTATCATTACGGCAAATAAAACGGCACAATGGGTCCGTTATCGCCGTTGTTTACGAGTCTCTAAATTTTGAGTTGTATCATACATTTTTACCGTGTTTTTTTTTTAAGTACTGACGTTTCTATATAACATTAAGCTCGCACGTTTTGTCTTTTTTGTCGATAAACAATGATGTTATTTGTCTGTTTACACATTGCATGATAAGAGTATACACGATTATAACGTGGCCAAAAAAAAGCATCGTCAAGGAAAACGACGTAATCTTTTTGCTCACTGTGATTAGATAACCAAAGTCAATTTTTCTCTTTTAGTGAGAAGGATGACGTAACGTTATCTTGCATACAACGTTTTAAGACGTTACATTTTGGAAAATAATAATTCATGGAACGGACCATCATTGCGCTGCTTATTCAATTGATGTGTAATTTTTTTCACTTATATTTATTTTACTATGTAAGAAATTCATATCGAACGCATTTTGCTCGATATTGTGTGAATGCTTTATTCATGGAATTTTTTTCACGTGGAATTTTTGTGTCGGGCATATTTTTACAGCAATGCATTCGCGTACGTAAACTCAAGGAAAGTTGACAGCAGCGTGAAGCTAATAGAAGACATTGATTGCACGTCTGATCCGCGATGTTTTCACTCCTTTCGCGACCAGAACGTATCGTCCAATGTCAAGTAATAACTCTCTCTTTTTCTGTTTTTAGCGCTTGAATATTCCAGAGCACTTAATATATATAATTATTCTCTCTCTTTTTCTCTTCCTATCTATTGTTATTTCATAATTATCATTATTATTAACACATTATTATTTTTATTTTTATTATTTTATTGTGAATAATTCCATTTTATCATTTTATTATTTTATGTGATATCAATAAATTATTTCTCCTTCGCTTATTTATAATTAATTTTTAATTATTAATTAATTTTTATCTTTGTTGTTTTCATTTTTGTATTTTTGTTCTTATTTTGTATTATTATTATTTCGTTATTATTTTTATTTTTTTAATTTTTTTTTTAGTTAGTCATTTTTTATATGTAGAGTGCTAATTAATAAACGCTGTATCTATTTGTCTCCATCTCTATATCCGACGTTATTAAAATTCCTAATAGAGATAAAGATAATAAAGATAATTAAGTAATTTACAAATGTACGTCTCTTGTTTACATACAACATTATTCGCGTCAAGGAAAATCAATATTATAACATTGAATTGTAAACGCATTTATAGTTGCGTTCACACGTATGACTTTTCCTCCTTCGCTTTCTCTGTTTTTCTCTCTTTCGTTCTTCGGTCGTCACTGCCAGGTTAAATATAATTTTCGAGTAGACATTAAAAGTGATGCACGCGATGCTGTGCGGCTAAATTAGTGTACGTGCGGAATTTAGGGAAGCTCAAAACGTGCGCGCGCGACAGCGACTACCATGGGGTTGTAGAGGGTTAAGTATAGCGTCCGGTGTACACGTTACCGCGCGTGTATCTCGTTAGCACGCTCTAAGTTTCCTGTGCTCGCCGTCACGCGTTTCGTCTCGAGGGAATATATAGTAGAACAAGAATTGTGTCAGTCAAGAGACGCGAGTCGTCCAATGACACGGCTTAAAATACGAACCGAATATGTATACGCGAGGCCGCACGAAACCACTTCTCTCTCTCTCTCTCTCTCTCTCTTGCGCGCGCGCGCTCCTTTGTGAGAATACACGTCGCGTCTCGAGTGTTCTATTTATGCTCATACTGTGTAATTACTAGACGCCAAATATCGAGCATGTTGTCTTACAACGCGTGATCTTATTACAGACGTCACGAAGAGCCTTCGTTCTTTCATCACTGAAACGCGATCCTCATTCAGTAATAGCGACATAACTTTTTCTTGGAAAAATCCTCAGATATATCTTTTTCTTGGAAAAATCCTCCATGATATAGAAATAATTATTAAAATTTTTAAATAAAAACAAGTAATATTTTTTCAAAAAATTCTATCTGTTAAATAAACGTTTTAGATTCTATCTGTTGAAGTTGTGTTGTTTTTAAACGAATATGTTAATTAAAAGTAGTGCAAAAGTAGTCGCTGGCCATTTTGTTTTACGCATTTTTTCATCTTCTCGCACGTTGAATCATCTTTGTTCGAAATTTATTCAAATCGAAGCCGCGACAAATCGGCGCAAGAAAGATCTCAAGACGTGCACAACATCAGAATTAATTCAATTGTACGTAAAGTACTTTGTGTGTCAATCCTATTGTTTTATATGCATCAATTGTTTTGTATTATCGCTTTGAAATTTTTTATCTAAGGCCTTCCTATGAACATGATGATTATTTATCATTTTCATGATGTAACTCTTATGAGTCACCTAAATATTGTATACTGTTCTAAGGCCGCTGTAAAAGTAGAGGCATTGATGAACTAAATGGATGGAGCAATAAACGTCTGGCTACTTTCTTTTTAGAAAGTTTTAGTGATATTATCGGAAGCAAAGTAATTATTTGCGAACAGCGTATCGTAACGTCAGAATCAGATTCTATTTAGTGCCTTATTTTTATTTATGACTTTCAGTAATAACTCGGAATTTAGGGTAGCGTTAAAGTTTCAATACGAAATTGGGACATTCTTATTTCTTATTAATGTAATTGATTAGATGCAATCGTTTTTCGATAATATTTTACTAATTCAAGAGTCGTAATTTTAGATTTTTCAACAGAAAACTCTTTTGGCGGAGAAGTGAGACCTTAAAAGTGCCCATGTCCCTTTTTTACGATAATCGCCAACGACTCGTCTCACGTCTCAAAGCAAAACCGAATGAAACCCGCTGGATCCCAGGCACTTTCATCGTTCTTCAAGGTGGTGTGGAAGTTCCCTTTAACGACACGGACATATACTGGCCTTTCAGACAGGTGCGTACTTACATGCTATTATATTATGCTCTTTGTTAGATTGATAAAAATCTAATTGATTTGGGTATTTTAAAATGCCAACATGTGCAAGATCCAAATTTTTCAGACAAGATGCGCGAAAGTTTTTTTCTATTTTACGAAGACAATACAATTTTGGCTTTTAATTTTGCATTCAAATTTTGCACGGATTTTAATTTCCGAAGTTCGGTAGTATCGAAAGAAATTTTTTTTATTAAAACATTTGTCTGTAAAAGAATAACGTGAACTACGATAAAAAAAAGAAAAGATCGCTTTTCCTTGTTTGATCTCTCAGAAACGCCGTGTAAAAGCAAAGTCCACGATCGTGACTGATGGAAGAATTCCGAAGATTTAACCGCAATTACGTGGTCCGACTTTTACGACTATTTATCGCACGTCTCTGCCGGAGTAACGACCGTAAAGACAATTGAACTTCTCTGCAAGGTATTTAATAGCAGTTGCCATCGGTGTGAGAAAGTTAATTAGATTTATTTCGCCAAGGAGATTGTAAAACCGCGCGAAGGAATACAGTTGCGAATTGAATTCTCTGAACTCGAATTGTTTATCACCACATGATTGCGACGACTGGTATGAAACGCATATTGGTTAATTAGTCGATAAGATTGGCATGATGAATGTACACACTTATGATATGCTGAAATTAGTTAACATGTTCAAACTTTGCGTGAAAACACATTGACATTTGAATAATTATATCAAAGGAAAACTTTTGTGCTTTTTATTATTAGAATACCTATTCCATATTGAAAAACAACATGAAGTTCAAGAAAACAAACGATAAAAAATTAATTAAACACCAAGAAAAAAGTGTTTACGTTGCCTTGCACTAACTTATTTGTAATTCATTGTAATAAAATTTTTTTAGGAGCTCTCACTCGGTACAGTCTGACTGGTATCAGGTTTTACGAGAGGCGAAAACCAAATATTATTATCTACCGTGTTTTATCGCATGACAAATATCGTGGAAGTTTTACAAAGTAAGAGTGTGCATGTGTTTCTATTAGGTGTTGGAATTAATTCGTAGCGTTTTTAATGAAAGAATGTTATTTATTTCACATGAGCATTAAAAAATACATTAATGAAAGTACTTCCCATCACTTGTAAAACGCTACGAATTAATTCCAACACCTAATAATAAAAGTATACGATTTTGTCCTTCAATATGATATTTTACTTTGCTTTATTTACCTATTGTTATTGCGTATAATGCAGTGACCTGCGTTTCTTCCTCTGAACTCTCACATTTTCTGAGATTAATTTAATTTCCGCGGTAACAATACGTGGCGATAACAATGCAGCAGAATGGCAGGGAGATTTCTATCAGGAGTAGCTCTGTTTGGAAGTTTATGAACTCTCGCCTCGCATGAATAACTAACCGCTCCACTGGACTATTCTGGTATATAGAGTTCCGCTGCATTTATCACCGAAAACACGTTCTCATCAAAGCACGAACCGAAAATCGACGCGATGATCCGGTCGAGACACGCTTCTGGCGTGCAGACGAATGCTTTGGCAGATTGCCTTTAAAACCCGCTTTACTAGAACTGAGGTACCGTTCGGACGGCACTCTCTACAAAAACATACCGGCCGCTCCGTTCATCCGTCCGTGCTCCAAAGCCGCGCTTTGTTTAGCGATTGATCGTGAATTTTTCACTGTGCGGCAAAGTAAAATTTTGTTCCGTCTACTTCTTGGCTATGCTAAAAACTTATTTAACTTAAACACATTTATATCTTCTATTTATTTGCACATATCTCTTATTTACTATGACATCAACACAATTAAAAAATTGTTATTTAAAAAAGAACAAGAAGATAAAGAAAAGTGAAAACAATTTTTAAATATACTTTGCTTCATTTACAATCAATTTTTACAACAAAATTGCATTTTAAAATTTAAATTCTAAAATTTAACGAATTAAAACACATGAACTAATTTTTTATTGTAGCAAATGAGCGATATTTTCATCTTTTATTTACATTTCACGTCTTTCTACATTTAAAAACTCGTTTTATTTAATGAGAGAATATAAGCGCGAAAAAAATTTTTGCTGAGCGTACGTACCAGGTGCATATGTTAAAATATATTCTGACTGCGTTCCCATGTGAAATATATGTGGTAGAACTCGAGCCGATTGTATTCGACGCTCAGCGAGCGATCTTTGTGTGCTTACAGGTACTAACCGCTTACATTGCTCAGAATTTGTTCGTTCAGGTTACGGCTATTGTTAACATCTAAAAATAATGTTTTCAGCGCTTTTCATCATTTTGCATATATATAATTTATTCTTTAATTCAAACTAACATGTAATTCATGAGGCGTCCAATTAATTAAATATGTAACTACGTTTTTCGGTTCTAACTTGATAGATGTTGCATTCAGTATTTTATCACGAATTGATAATCATTATCTGCATTCAGCGTACTCAGCGATAAACATGGCTACACAATTCGACCCAAATTACTACTCGCCTACGAGATCATTCTGCTTTACGGTAAATTCGTACGGTAAATTTTCATACGACGGAGAAAAAATAGAAATTGTAAACGCAACGAAGATGATATCATTGCGGTTGACTCGCGAAAAAAAAAACGGAACTTGAGCGAAGTAAATTCACAAGAAAAGCACTCGATCACGACTGGAAGATTCCTATTTCACTTCTGCTGGTTACGTCTTTTTTTTTAATGCGCTATGGCCTTTATAGCGTGAACATTATCTCGAGATGTCCCAGAGCAGCTCGAATTTGTGCTACGCTTGCGTCATTGTTAATCCTCTCAAGCGATGTTTGCGCCGAGTTTATGAGCTTAGAGAGAATTGTATATCTTCATCCATTCATTTCCAAGTATTAGTTTCAGCGGTCTTAATGGAGAAATATAATTTATGATAAAATTGGTAGAAAGGTCAAAACACGAGCATTTGAATAGATCTGGGCTTAAAACTAGTTTATGAAAACGTCAAGAGAGGATTAAAACTAGTTATCCATTAATATATAATACGTGGAACGTGGAAGACTTAGTATAGTCGTTTTCATGCATTGTATATTTATAAATAACCAGTTTTAATCCTTTCCTGATGTTTTAATAAACTAGTTTTAAGCCTAAATTTAATCAATTGCTTTTAATTTTATTATTTGCAATTTCGAGCTAAGAAATCGATACTAAAAAATGTAATTTATATTCTTTAGGAATATTTAGCGACAAAGATTAAAGCAGATTAGGATAACAGCAGATTTCGCGGACAATTTCTGGAGAAAAGAGTCGATGGGAAATTTGTTGGATTCACCATTGGTACATCCGGTGCTTCTGCGGAGCATCCCGCATGCATGCAATCAAGGTGGTGTTCCAGTTTCTAATTTGGCGAATAGCGTGCACTACTCGTTTCTTTGTGCGCAGCGCTCGCTCCGCTCACTCGACAGTTAAAACGACGTACTCGTGCTGAATTCGATATTGCGGTGCTATTGTCGCATGACGTTGCGATCAATACGGAACCCTTTCGTCGCCGGATTCTTTCTTAATGCAGCTGTGCATTAATCTACCGTCGTCGTATTTTCAATGTGTTCTTGGCTGTCCGCTCAGTACACGCGCTACTCTTCGCGAATCGGCGATAATAGTGATGATAGTTCTTAAATAATTCAATAAATTAATAAAATAGTATAATTTTTAAAAATTACAAAATTTGAAAAAAGAGAAAGAAAATTATTTTGATTTTTAGAAACATTTTATATAAGGTGCGAGAAAGATTCGCGAAGAAAGTCTATAAAAAATCGTTCGTTAACTGTTTTATTATATAAAACAGCTGCGGCAAAGTAATAGATATTATCCCTGTCAGTGTGTTTGCGAGATACACGCTCTGTCGTGCTGCTGTATATATCTATATATACACAGAACTTCTTTAAGATAATACCTGCTGGCTGTGCCGAGAGCACGTTGACCTGATGGCTGATCGTTCTCAAGATGCTCTCTCACTCTCTTATTCCCTCATCCCTCAAGAGAGAGAGAGAGAGAGAGAGAGAGATCGGACGGAAATGAGAGCCCGAGAACGACCAGGAGACGGAGAGAGTGAGATGGCCCAGCTCTTGAACCCAAACACAACAAGGCGCAACGCGTTACGACTCGCACGGGCTCGCTCGGCTCATTTCTCATCGCTTCACCCTTGGAATTCCGATCTGCCGGATTTTTCGGAACTCACCACGGCGACGATGGCAACGGCGGCGGCGATGCTGCCTCCGCCAATGTCGCTAAAGATGCGATATTGTTGCATCAAGTATATACAGTAGATCCGTTCTCTTCGCAACTGCACCTGCCGTATTTCTTTTTTTTCTCTCTCTTTCCTTCCCCATATGTGATCGTATACACTTCTTTCTTTTTAGTCCTGGATTATTTCGTATTTTCAACAGTCTACTAATACTGATTGTGTGTAAAATTTCATTTAGAGAAAACTTATTTGTAAGTAAAAATAATATTCAGATCTTGAGTAATGATAAAAGAAGAAGAAGAATTTTATTCTTTTCAGCACACATTTACAAAGCCAAGAATGGGTTTGGTTTACATTGTTCCTACTTGTTTCTACTTTACTCATCCATTCGTTATTTTCTCATACACTCTTCAAAGTAGGACTAAAATATTATTTTTATCAACGAATTGATTGAAACCAGCGTAGACTCAGTCAGCTTGTATAAACATGAGTCACAAAGGATTAATCAAAATAAAAAGGAGACATATTATTTTAGTAATTCTAGAATATATCCAGTCAACACAAATTAAAAGTGACTAACATCAATGTTATAATTACACTTAAGAATTATATAAATGTAACATAATACATGATGCTAAATTATATTTATATCGTTGAACACGGTGTTACATAAATTACATTGTTGCGTCATTGAGTGAGATAACATTAATTATGTTACTTTTAATTGGTGTCGATCGCAGATTATAATGTTGTTTATTTTTTTTATAATGTTGTTTTCTTTTTTTTGAACCTGCAGTAATTTTAATCGTTTTATTGATCCAGTCCAAAAAATGTTTTGACCTACACTCAGACCTGCATATCCCAGAAGGATTCAGAATTTTAATACAAAAAGGTGGGAAGATCTTTTAAGACGCCTTTGAGCGATGCGACCTCGGCGGTTCGACTGATAAAAACGGCACCGAACAGTGGAAACTAAGAACGGCATTTCCGCTTCGGCCATCACGGGCGAAGGGGAAGCCGGCGCGGACACACTCGCGTGATCCTGTTTCCTGTACAAGCTTTTTCGAAGCCTTCGAGGGAATTCAAGACCCGACCGGGCGTGAGATCGCCACGGAGAATCTGCTGTAGTATTTTTATCTCGTTCAAGACAAGAAAAGAAGATAAAAACACAAAAGACTCGACTATTGAAAGCAAAGAGAAATTCCGTTCGTCGTAGTCGACGATCCGTATCCTTAAAGGAGACTGACGCTCTAGGACGTCGCTTCGCACAATTGTGAAACGTCTATTTGAAGTCGAAAAAAATCTCGTTGACGACCGGAACTCGACAATGACTGGTACCTGAGCATCGACTCGATGACGTGGCCCTGGCGATATCAACGTATCTTCTCAAACACAGTCGGAATACTCGGCGTGCGCCGTTCGTGGCAACATCGATTTCTCACGTAATATCGCGTGATGACCTATTTGCACGAGGGAGAAGTCGGGGAGGAATAAGTACCGCGACATTCGATTTCGAGAAAAGAACCCATCTCCAAGAATGGGAACGCGTGGAAATAATCGTAAATATCGCTGTAGACGTTCTCCGTCTCGTCAGTCACCGTTCTTCACCTCAATTACGCAAGCGGTTATCGATTTTGCAATAAAAAAGAAAAACATTTTATCGCATATGTATCTTTTTCATTCTTCATTATTCCATGTTATCTTTACGGGCTTTTTATTTACGTTTTTATAATTTTCTATTTGTAACATTTGCGTAACGATTGAAAGTATTTGTACATTAGATAGTAATATACCCTGTCATGCTGTTATAGGCTATTTCTAGAGTTAGTTATTTAAAGAGATGATATTGCGCCGCTATTATTACGCGACGTTCTTCTTCCGAAGTCCATCTATTATTCAGCAGTTGCTATTGCGACTTCCGTACTCTTTCGCAGCTCGTATATAGCTTTATTTGTTCTCTTTATCAGGAGTCGTTCTTTCAATGGTGCTTTGGCGTGGAGGAGCCAGACTGTTACGGCGCTATCGACGTGAACACCAGTGCCTCGATCCTCTTCGTGCCGAGGTTACCGCCCGAGTACGCGATTTGGCAGGGCAGGCTACATACTCTGGACGACTTCAAGGAACGATACGGCGTGGACGAGACTCATTATACCGACGAGATTGCGTCCGTGCTGAAAGAAAAGTCAGCGCAAGTCTTGCTTACGCTGGTAAGTCGCGCCTGGGAACAGATGGACGCTTACTGGTCTCGCTGCTTTCCTGTTTGCCTTCTCCTTAGGTAGAGGAGAGTACTCAATCTGGGGATAGTTCAAACTTAAGGACGATCATGATTTTGCAATGTCGATTATACAATTTTTCCTCTGTCTTTGATACAAATTATTTCGTTTCTCCCTGCTAACGCGCGCGACATACCTAATCGTTAATAAACAAAGAGAAAAACGGATCAAGTTGCTGAGTGAATCCCCAAGTTGAGCACCCTTCTCCATGTGCATGTGTGTGTTCCGCAATAAGGCGATTCACCGCGGCTTGCCTCGTGACGTTTACCTTCGCCTCCTTCGCGACTGTCTGCCTCTACAATGTGTCGAGAAAGTTGCGTCGGTCGGTCTGGTTTTGCGAGACTCTCCGCCTGTATTTAATGTGTCACTCCCGGCCGCTCTTCTTTACCAAACATTTGATGAATGCGAGCGCGTTGTACGTGAATTTTTGTCGCATTGTCACCTCCAATTAGAGACTCGTCGAGTCTCGCGCCTTCATTCGCACGATGCGGCATTTGTCACGACTCGGCGAATGTTTGCCGAGTCGGGGGCATCGTCTGACGTTGCCTTTGCCTGGAATGACTTACCAGTCCTGTTCTCTGTGCAGTGCTCGCTGCACAGATGGGACTCGCAAAAATCCCGCCGTATAATACCCTCCCGTGCGAAATACCGCGTGTATGCGCGCGCGTTTAAATGCCGCCCTGTTGCTACGCAGATTAGAATTATGGTGGATTTAGCAGAATCTCGGAATGCATTCCTTACGCCTAGCTCTACGCAATACCTTCGTTTGCCAAATACTTCATATGTGTGCAAGTATACCGCGCACTTCGGGATATTTTTTTTACCGTTCCTCCCGAAGAAAAACAAAGAGTTGGGTGGGGTGGCGGAGGAAGACAGACGATTTATGCTTTGTTTGGCGTCTCATATTTATTTTCCGTTTTCTACAGTTTGCTTTTACATGTCTGGACTCTGATTTAAATCAGTTTATTCTCGATTCATTTTATAGCTTAGAAAATCGCGGTGGAAAAAATATAAATATAGCGGCGCAACGCGGACGAAGACACACGCAGTTTATAAAAGAAGAAATGACACGATAGCGTGTGTAACATTTTTATCCAGAAGCTTGATGACATGTTAAACGACGGGACTATAATAACGCAGAATATTTGTTCTATCCGCGATCTCATACCTGCAACCTGTCAGCAGACACAACCGATTTACATAGTTCCGTTGTGACACAGATATCGCGTTTCGGATGAAAAACGGCCGATAAATTTTTCAACCGGTCGCTATCTAACGAGCAACAATTTGTCCCTAGCCGCGGTGCATCAATGACAACGTAACTGGGTGACCGCAGATATTACGAGCGACCTGAACCATAGATTACAAGTACGTGGGACGCTTATCTGATAGCGCGCCGCCGCAAATAGATTTCGCGTCACGAAGTTCAAAAGACACGGCTGGCATCGTATCGATTGCAACCGGCAATGCGGGACTTCAAACTTCATACTCCATTTTAAGTAAATCGCGTTAAACTTTTCAATACTCTTCGCACATAGGAATACACAGATAATTCGTATTGTTAATGAGTTGGTCGATAATAGCGCTTTACTCCAGAAAGTAATTTTCCAAAATCACAAATACATTTTTATAAAGTTCTTTTCTTTTTTTCTATTTAATTCAGCCACGGTTGCACACATATGTATTGACGTTTCCCGTTAGCTGATATCTATCTTTCATATCTTCTGCAGGAAGTATAGTTGTTTCAATAGAAAGAGAGAGAGAAAGAGGGGGAAAGGGGTGTATTCTATAAGGACATATTCTATTTGGATAATAGACCACTCGAATAGTAGGGTATTCAAATAGAGATTATTCGGACAATAGGAGGTTCGAACAAAGAGGTTCTATTTGTATTCGTATCAAAAACGACAAGATGATTCTTATTTAGATAATATCTATAAATACATTTAATATCTAAGAAATGTACATTCTCTAGATTTTTTTAATTTCTGAAATTTAATTTCTAGAATATATATGTATATATTTCCTTTTTGTCTAGAATATTTTTGAAAACTATGCAAGTCATATTAGCTCTTGCGATAACGTTATTCTGATATAGTAATTTATAATAGCTAGACAATTATCGTTATTAACAAAAACATTAATTATCTTGGAAAATACAAAGTTTAGAAACAAGTGCAATTTTTACCACATTACGCTTTATATTTTTATGGCTATTTTTTGCAATTTTTATATCGTGATGTAAACGACCTGTGCATTGCGATAGTAAAGATATTCGGCAAATTCGCGAAACTAGTTTTACTGATATACCGGTTACACGGGATCTTGCAATTTAAGTCAATTTGAGGCAATTTAGAGCATTTTGCGATCCCGTGCGGTGCGCATTAAGCGATTCCAGAGACGTTCGCATGGTTTACGTGAAACCAGGAAATTCACAATGTCTTTCGAGCGGTGAAACGGTGGTGTTTTCCAGGAATCGTAACGCGCGATTATTGAGATGCGCTCATTGTGTTGTATATAACGCACGTTACTCATCCCGTCGAAATAAATTGACGTGGAGCTGTCAGTATTTGCGCAATCAGCTCGATCGAAAATACAAGCTCGTATATGTCGTTAATGTTCCACAATAGTTATGAGACAGGTCATTTAAACTGCTGTCCATATCACTGGCTATTGAAAATCGATTCGGCTATACTCTATACTCGTTTCTACGAATTCGTCGAAACTTCCCGAAACAACATCACGATGGTGGTTATTTACATCAGCCAGCATGCAGGACTATCTTTGGCATGCGAACTCGAGATGAGTTTCGTTATTTCTATTGTTTATCGGTACTCCAGACTGGTCTGTGCATTAACACATAGACGCTGATGAGTAGTTTCTAGCAGTGCCTTGAGTAGACTCTGGCCTTGAATCTTCTCTCTATTTCTAGTTCAATAAATCGAATTGCTGCAAAACTCGTTGGGAAAAATCAATATTTAATGTCTTTGCGGAGAATGTTATTTTGCTGAAACGTGTAAAGACGACGGACATTAATAATAAATAGAACAACATATAGTATTTGCCGCAAGGCAATCACAACCTCTTGCATTATTCTGAAATGTGTGAGAACGTTCAACATGTGTAAAATCGAGATCGGCATCATGGAATTTTCTCACGAAACACTTCGAGATTTCACATTATTTAATATCTTGGCTCACGTTTTCGGATAGACAAAGAGCAATAAATCCGTAAAACTTTCGTGTTGTGCTTATTTTTAATATCTTCTCTACTGTAAGTAAGTTTATAATCTTTTCGAAATAATTTTTTTTATTAACGTCGAATTCTATTTGTCAATAATAAATATTTATTTACGAAACCAAACCAGTTGGTATTTTGTTACTATAAATATAATACTGACGCAACGTTTTATATAATCGAGAACTTTTTTTTAATATTTATTTTAAAGGAATGTGTAACTCGACATTCAATCGTCTGGTTTTTAAAGATTAATGTTAACAGCCATGCAATTTAAAATATACAGGAATGTTTTTAGTTGCGACGCGATTGAAATGTATTTATAATTCTCGTATTTTTAATGTTTCCGTTTTAAGTATAAATTATGCGTATTTGATACGATATTATATTATTATATTATATGTATAATAACATAAAAATAGATGAAAATTAATTACTGTTTATTCTAAAGTCGTCAAATCGTTAATATTAAATTACATCCTTGGTATTTAATCATTAATTATACCGTTGAATATTGTTTGCAAACAATGCAGCTTGCCAAGCCGATTATCACTTGACAATGCGATATTCATGCATGACAAAGCTAATTTAATGGTTGATAAACACGAATGGAAACAAAATGATTCATAACGGTCAGAATAATACTACCAAAATCGACGTGTTTATCGTGCACGTGTATACATCATCGTGAGTCTTTTATGGTACGGTGTATTTTATAAAGGATCGTGACAAAATCTTGAATTTCGTTTGTTTTTGATTTTTAAATTCAAACGAAATATACATGGAAAGAACAATTTTACTGAAAGATCTAAAAATTTAGTTAGATCTGAAAATAATTTCATGGACTATTAAAATTATTATATATAGAACGCGCAAATTGGTTGCTAGAATGTCAAAACTTTTTGCAGTATTACTCATCGTGCTTGAGTAATATTTTTTCACAAAATTATTTTCAGATCTGCCATCAGATCTCCATCTAAATCTTTAAATATCTCAGCAAAATCGTTCTTTTATTATACAAATTCGTTTTTTTCATACGTTTCCAATTTTACATATATTTCGAAAACCTGTTGTTGAACTTTGTAAGAACTCGTCAAAGTTAAATTTGATATTTCATTAATTAATTATTGCATATGCACGAAACTCGTTAAAATTCCCTTATTTTTATGAGATTTTGTCATCGCGCATGCGATCGTTCGATCGGTTTAGAAATTTATGATTGCCGATAGATTACGAGATACATGATATCTTCAATAATTTGCATGGCAAATGAGACAAGTTTGGGGACCGTACGGTCACAGGGTGTTACATCATAATCCCCGCGATGGTTGGGGCACAGGATTAAAGCTGAGGTTCGTTCGAGCGTTCAGCAGAAATAGGAACGGATATATAATCGACGACGGGTTAGTCACAATGCAACCTTTCATGCTTAGCGGTAGCATACATGAACCGATGTATCTTCGTAGAGATATAGTCGCACACGTGTGCCACGGCATAAAATATCTAATTATAGAGATAGATGACGGAGAATTATCGCATTTGACCTTTATAAAATGATACAAAAAAAAATGTTATTCGAAATTTGCTGATGAGAAAGATTAAAAATTGTTTCAAGATGTAAATAGATGTAAGTGAGAGCATAAATTTGTATTTCCGCCGCGACACGCCATGCGTATGCACGATATCGTGCTATCAAATGCTGCAATGTTATACACATGCTAATTACACGTTTAATCTGCTGGGGCTTGGTAAGGTAAATAGTTCGCTGCCGCAATAACTTTATACTAGGTCTCAGCATTGATAAACACTTGTTTCTCGCAGACCGACCACGCGCTCGCGACTCTAATTATCATTACATTGCAAACACAGTATTGCTACCGCATATTTTTATGCGACACGTCGCGCGGTCTTTTGCAATATTCGACACGACAAACGCTGACAGACACATTCGCGGCGTGGTATTCGCTATTTAGCGGAATCGAACATTTTTTATTTCCTCAGCGAAAGCCGATTAATGATCTCCAATATCGCAAACGTGCGCAAAAAGTTTCACTAACGTCACTTACGCAGGTGCATAATTCGACGTGCATAATTACTATGCAAAAATCGACTTTGCGCAAGTTATTATATGCAAAATATAGCACACGTAAAAAAAAAAAAATCGTTTTAGCACGTACAATTTGTACAAAAACTTGTATACCCTACTTATCACATATAAGCGGATAGAATTGGAAATTATCACATATTGAGAAAATATTGATATTTCAGACTCGAGTATTATGCGACGTTGCGACATAACGTGCCGATTAATCGCTTAATTAATGCATGACGCATTAAGAATTTATGCGGACGTTATCATTTGAAGTGAAATACGTAACTTTATCACGCACGTTACCCTTCCGCGGATATAGAAATCAATGGCACAGAAAACGTTTGTTTCGCCTCCGACCGGATGGGGACTGCTTTCTCTATTCTGACTTGAATCCAAATTACGTAAGGCTTGCTTTTACTTTGACCTGCACGATATTCCGCTCGCACGTTACTGTGTACATTGCTGTGTTGCCCAAACCACGGCAAACCTGATTACGATTTACGATCGTTCCTTTTCTCTCCTTTGTGCATTGCAGAATGGCAAAAACAGCGACAGCAAACTGACAACGCGCGAGACGATTTTCGATGGTATCGACGAGTAAGTATTAAGTATGATGAGGAAAATTAAAATAAAAACATAGCATATGGTCGTTATGAACAATTTATATAATTACGAATTTTCTTGTCGTAGATTCCGGGTGGATCTTGAACACTTGTATCCGGTGATATGCGAGTGGTAAGTATATTGGTTTCCTTTCGCCCTCCAGTAATAAATTTTGTCATTCTAAATGCAGAGAGAAAGAGAGAGAGAGGGAGAGAGAGAGAGAGAGAGAGAGAGAGAAAGAGAGAGGACGGCAGACACTTTGTGTAGACAATATTGCTTGTTAGACAATATCGAGGAGTGCATTTAGAGTACAATGTAATTAATACCGCAATATACTATAAATAAAAATCGCGTTGAGTTACTATAGTTAAAAGAATGTAGCTTTTGTATAACTTAGTTTTTGTTATTTATCGCATATTGATTGCTTGAAAGAATCAGTGTCGCCATCGGCTGGTCGACTTGTGGAATTATACACGTCACCACATCGGTATATGTCTGACAACTTTTTATTGGGTTATAATATACATATCAATTATTTTAAATTTTATATTTAATGTGACGCGCGTTAAAAAAATAATTAAAAGCAATAATTCTCTTCTTACTATTGTAATATTTTAATTTTCCGTGACAAGCATGAAGATCGAGAAGAATCTTTGGACATTTCTTAAAGAAATCACTAATTACTAAATCTTGAATATATAAAGCTCGCAATGTAATTGAAAGGTAAAAAGAAGAAAACTTTATTAGGGAAACTACACGTTGATTGTATTTGCAATTGCTATTATAGATGATACTTTCGAGCCGGGGAAATTTCTCTGCGAGAGCATTCGCACATCCTTTCCGTTTGATTTTAAAATTTAAAAAAAGATATTTCGAATCAAAAGCGTGCGATCACGAGATACAGTTGACGCAGACGAATATTTTCGTACAAGAAGGTGCGCGCATACAAGAAGTTCCTTTAATAGTCAAGAAAATCACCAGCATTGAAGCTCTCCTTGACAAACGAAGACGGAGGATCATTCAATCGTCAAATAAAACTAAGAAACCCGCGATATATCGTAAGGACAATATCCCTCATTCTATCGGCACGCGTGTGATGAAAAATGGGCCGTTAAAACATACTATTAGTATAGAAACCGATGAAGGTATGGCGATTCTTTACTGCTCTGATATCGAGCGTTTGAAAAACACGGATGTGGAACAGGTTCTGGATGCGATGAACTCGGGGAACACGGATAAAAAAGTTTATTCCATGCTGGAGAACAAGATCGCCAATGAGATAAATTGCCGGATAGCGCTCCAAAGTTTGAGGAAGATGATAGAGTTGGATAGCGAATGGACCCGGTACCGGAAAACCTCATCGAATGCTCAATCATCTATAGAGGCCATCAATAGAGACATGATTTTGCAACAACTTGTAAATCTGATTGTCAAAAGCCAAGACAGCGAGATGATATTGCAGGGATTAAAGGCACTAAAGAGAGACAGATTTAGTCCTTCGACAAATATTTATAAGGACCGGATGTGCAATGAAGTTATGATTAGAGCCACGGACGGCGAGCTCACCATATCGCAGTTAATCAGAGCGATGAGAATTCTGGTTAATTATGGAAATTCCAAATACAGAAACTGTATAGACATGTTGTGGGTAGGCCTGGCGTGTAAGGAGCAGGATGTTAAACCAGATCTACTGGTTCCGTTATTCAGATCGCTGAAGTACTTCCAGCGAAGTAAAGATATGGTACAAATCATTTTGGAAAAGAAATTATCGGAGCAGTGGTTGAAGTTGACCGGTTCGCAGATGGCAAGTATACTGAACTGTCTCTACGGAAAAGAGTCCTTGCAAGAATGTCTATCAAGTGCTAGTAAATGGGCGAACGTGAGTATGACTACTTCTACCGAGAAAGATCTCGTCAATTTTATTGGCAGTTTGCGCACGAAGAAATATGTCAATGAAAATATAGAACAAGCGTTAGCGAGATACGTAACGAGCAAAGGCACTGAGATGAAAGATCCTCGTTTAATCGCCTCCATCATGGATTACTGCAAAGATTTACGAATTCGAAATCCATACGTTCTCGCTGAATGTGGAAAATATTTCATAAGACATGGACCGCAAATTCCGCCTACATTATTGTCTCCCATTATTGCTCCATTTGGATTATTGAATCTACAACCACCGGATCCGACCGAGTTTTGGAAGATGTTCGACGAGGTGATATCTGCAAGATTTTCAGATTTGAAGTTAAACGACGCTTTAGACATTCTTCTGTCTTGCACATATCTTGAAAGATATCCCATTAAGCTTTTGGATAAAGTTTTCAGTTCGTATCTTATGAACAGGTTGCAAACGCAAAGGGACGCGCCTATTATCAATCATTTGAAAAACAAATTGAAATTATTCGACGCGACCATGTCATTGGAATGCAAAGATTATCATGGTAGCCCGATTAATCTAGACAGAAACACGAAATCGTTAAGTTTAGATATGAGAATCAGGGGTATTATTAATAAAATACACAAACCACTGGCGCACTTGGTAGGCGGCGAGCACAAGTTAAGCAGGAGTGTGGTTTTGAGCAGGCTGCCTTTCATAAACTTCTATATTTTGGATATTCTTGTACATCCACTCTTAAAATCAACGTCGGTGTTCAACTTAAACCTACATAAAAAGCGAAACATCAATACTGCGATTTTAATCTATTTGCCCGAATACTATTGCTGGAATACGCAGTTCTTAATAGGGCCGCAGATAATGAGAAAGCGACAAGTTAGGAAATTGGGTTTCCGAGTTGCACATTTAGATTACGCGAAGCTAGCAGAACTCGTAGATCAAGACGACAAATTGCTATCCTATTTATCACAAAGTCTGGACACCGCCGAAAATGCTTTATAAATCGTTTCGTGTGATACATGTATTTTACGGATGTAAAAATTTACGGACGAGATTGCAGTGTGAAACGCAATTGTAACTACATGTTTCTTTGATGATAATAATAATAATAATAATAAATAAATAATAAAGCAATGTATTCTAAATAGATGGTTACAAAAAATTTGTAATTATTTTTTTTAAGTCAACATATTTTTGTATCTTTATTATCTTCGTAAATTCTTCTTTTTGTTTTATACAGCCGGGTGATAAAGTCTCCTCAAGAAATTGAAGTATTGCGGTATGTGTGTAAGATAAGTTCGGAGGCTCACAAGACTATAATGCGCTCTATGCGTCCGGGGATTCCAGAATACAAAGCAGAGGCTTGGTTTTTAAATTATGTATACGCTGAGGGAGGGTGCAGGCATGTATCTTACACGTGCATCTGCGGATCCGGACATAATTCCTCTATACTGCACTATGGTCACGCCGGTGCTCCGAATAATAAAGTTATACAGGATGGAGATATGTGGTAATATTTCAGTTGCAGCTGATCTGTTCGTTATAATTTGCTTATACGTACATTGCGTGTTGCAATGCTTGCGTAACACGTTCTTTTATCTGTCATGCAGCTTGTTTGACATGGGCGGTAATTACTGTGGATACGCGGCTGACATTACGTGCAGTTTTCCAGCCAACGGGAAATTCACCGAGGATCAAAAACTGATCTACAATGCGGTGCTGAAGGCGCGCGACGCAGTGATCGCAGCCGCGAAACCGGGAGTTGCCTGGACAGATATGCATCTGTTGGCTAATAAGGTCATGTTGACATCGTTGAAGAAAGGTGGACTACTGGTGGGCGATGTCGATGATATGATAAAAGCAGGTTTGAACGAAGTATTCCAGCCTCACGGACTGGGCCACTTGTTGGGATTGGATGTGCACGACGTTGGTGGATATCTACCTGGTCATCCTGAACGCTCGGAGGATGCGGGAGTGAGAAAGCTGAGAACCGCGCGGACATTGCTCGCCGGAATGGTTCTCACGGTGGAACCAGGCTGTTATTTTGTAGACTGCGTAAGTGTAGAGATAATTGGCAAATAACTTTTACACGAACTTTAGAATCTTATTGAATGTTTATGTGGAATAATTTCCGTTATAGTTGCTCGATGCAGCTCTTGCTGATCCAATCCAGTCCAAGTTCCTTGTGCCAGAACAGTTGCAGAGATTCCGAGGTTTTGGTGGCGTTAGAATCGAGGATGACGTCCTTATAACGGAAACCGGAGTCGAAAATATGACGGATGTTCCTCGCACGTAAGTTCATTCCGAGTGTTTATTTACTTTTAATATTGTTTCGAAAGAAAACTATTTTACAATTTTATATTTCAGAGTTGAAGAAATAGAAAACTTCATGCAGAGTTAATTGGTCAAGAAGAAAAATTCGCAAAATTCGGAGATTTTGAGAGATGAAGGATTGAAAAGTTTAACAAGTTGCTTATCAATTAGCTGCATAAATGCAATTGTGATAAGAAGGTATATTCATATAATTTTTCACCAGATACATGTATATATTTGTATCGATTTATACATAAATATAACGAATAAAACAAGAAACTGAGATGCCATAATGTAATGTTATACCGCTACGTTATGGTATATCGTTAAATCGATATTTCTGCAGCTATCGCGTAGCAAGACTTTTCAAGCAAAATTTTTCAAACCCACGCGTTCGCACGTGCAAGACTTTCTCACGCTAATGGCTTAGACTAAGGCAAGTAGATTTAAGATCATTGGTAAAAGTCATTCATTCTGATTACGTCTGTCATGATCATTACGTCTATTTTGGAATAGCCTTGGTGACTTTTGACAGTAGAATTGAAAGCAATTTCAACTTAGAAATACGTTAGTATTACGAGCCAGGAGATTAGGGCTTAATTCGATTCACGTGGATACTTTTTTATCGCGTGGACCATGACCTTTCGTGCTTCAGGCTTCCGTGGGTTGGAGATTCGCCCGCTTATATTACATTCGTTTGGACAGAATCTAAACGTGGCTGTTATTGTGCGTGAGTGCCTTAGAGTTGCGTGACCGACACAATCTATGTGCGTGCTGTTGCATACTGCGATCGGCACGCGAAACGTCAAACTAGCCAACATTTGCCATGTATCGCAGCATCTTAAATTTCAAAATTAGTAATCAAAAGTAACATAATATCGGACAGTCAATGTCAACAAACCAAACGTCCCACCCGCTAAAGAAATCGCAAAGTGCTGGAACACTCTCGCGTCTCCGATTTCACGTGTGACGGAAGATAATTCGCGCTGTATCTTCTCGGGAAAACTATTAACGATCAACGAAGGCATTGACGTCAAAACACTTTATCGTCGTTCACGAAGGTTCGGTGAAAATACTGTAGAAAGCGAAGGAGAAAGCGACGAATGACGAGGAATTGCGTCATAAACCCGCAATTGCGTGTGTAAAAATAAAACATCGGTCTCTGGGCGGACATTATACCACAATTAGGTCGTGTATAGGTCCGAAAATACATCGGCTGATCTCGCCTACGAAAGGTGAAACTATTTGTAATGTATATATTTATTTCAATTTGAAGTCCCTTTCTTCTTGCGCGACCCTAAGACCGGGTCAACTCGTGGAGGTCGCTCGTTTTTCGCAGAGAAGTCGAAGCCCCCAAGAGAAATCCGCGGTTTATCGGTTGTCTGCGATCACCATCGGGACTTTCATCTTGATGGAACCGGCGTGGTCGATTTATAGGTACGTGTTGCGAGAATATAGAGCGCGATTGACGTAACACGCCAGTATATCACACGTCACAGCCGGAGTGCGTTCACCATAGAGATTCTATAACAGAGTTATAACAGAGTCTGATCGTGAGATGTTAAACATTTTAACAACTCGTCGTTTTTTTATCTTCAATAAGTTGGAGTGAATATATAAGATAGTACAAGCTACAACGAGATAGCATATATAAAAAGAAACATTGGTTGCTTTCCAGCAAGAGACACAGTGTGTTTCCAGCAGATAACACACTGTAATAGAGTGGATTATATCCTTGTTGTTTACTAATATTAAACAAAGATGACATGATCACTATGTCATACTGTGTTGCTTGTGAAAGGTATATATATATATATATATATATATATATATATATCTCTATGTGTGTGTATGTTTACCTTG